AATGATCATAATCAAAACCATAGAAGAAACAAAACAAAAAACAGTTTTAGGGGGATGGGGAAAGGAGGAGTTGCTTAAATCATATAGTTTCACTTTTGCAAGATGAAAAGAGATCTGGAGATCGGTTACACAATGTGAATGTGCTTAAAGCTACTGAAGTGTAATATACTTAAAAACGGGTAAAATGGTAAATTTTATTATGTGCATTTTACAAGAAAAAAATTTTTTTAGTATTTTTAGAAACTGGTTTGTGACTCCAGGGAACACTGAGAAGGACACAGTGACTTGCTTCTGTGGTATTCCTACCAAAAGTGAATCTAATCATGAGGAAGTGTGAAACATATCCAACTGAGGAATGTTCTACAAAAAAATTATCCTGTGCTTTTTCACGTCAGTCATGAAAGACACAGACAGATACAACAGACTAAAGAAACATGACAACTAAATGCAAAATGCAGTCTTGGATCCGGATTTGGATACTACCTACATGCTCCCAGACTGCAGTAATAGACTTTACTAAGGTAATTGGTAACATCTTAAAATTACATAATAGTATTGAATCAATGTGAATTCCCTGGTTTTGGTAAGTGCACTGCGCACTGTTGTCAATGTATATATAATGTACTCTAAAATGGTTCACAAAACTGTGTGTGTGTGTATGTAAGCAGAGAGAGGATAGAGCAAATGTGGTAAAATGTAGGAAAAACTGGGTGAAGGGCAAAAAATTCTTTGTACTATTCTTGCAATGTTTCTAAGACTGACAATTGTCTCAAAATTAAAAGTTTTTTAAAAAGACTCTAAGGAACTAGGGAGTAGAAACAAGGCTGGTAGATGGTGCAGGCCCTACAAAATAGAGGACTTAAGAGTCAGGCAAAATGAAGGCAAAAAGTAAATGTAATGTGCATCTGGAGGTATCAACATGGGGCCGTGAGGGGAAGGGGCAGTTAAAATAAGGAATGCAGGGAAAGAAAACAAACAAAAAACAAACAACAACAACAACAACAACAAAAAAAGGCCAAAGTAGGAAAAAAAGCTTATGCTCAGGGAAAAAATATTTTAACACTTAAAAGTTAGAAAAGAAAGGACAGCATTCTCTTGGGCCCTAGACTGACATTTCAACTGCCTGCTGGAATGTTTCCTTGAATGTCCTATTGGAATCTGCCAACTCAAATGGCCTAAATCAGAATTCGTCACCTTCTTAAGCAGTACCTCTTTCTTACTTAAAACGTATTTCTATTATTGGTACCACCATTTACCCAAACTTAACACACTTCAGCATCACTGTCATTCCTACTTCCTACAACTAACCAATCAGAGTATGCAAATCCTATCTTTGGAAGATCTCTTACATTCACTTCTTTTCCAGCCTGTGCTACCACTTTAACAAGGCCTCAAACTGGTCTCCAATTCATGCTATATACCTTGTTGCCAGAAGACTTTCTACTGAATTGGGTATAAACTCCTCAATCTAGAATTTGAAGCTCTCCTTAATGCAGTTCAAACCACATTTCTGGTCTTTCGACATGTTTTCCCACAAACACATGGCCCACCAGTGAGCTGACTAGATCTGCTGTTCCCGTAACATACCTCATATTGTCTCACCTGTGTGCCCTTCCTTCTACTTCCTGTGAAATGTATTTTCTTTATGCTCTTCACCATCAAAAGACTACCTACCTTTCAAAGCCCAATGCCATCTCCTTTATTAAACTCCACTTGCTATCCTCATCGAAATATCATCTTTTCCACCTCTAAAATCCCAGAAAAGGCTTTTTAGGATTTTTTTTGGGGGGGGGGGGGCTCTTACCACATATGACCTTGCATTTTGGACATTTGTCTACTATATGTTCATTGAAAGTAGAAACTATGGCATTTCTGCACTCAGAAAATACCCTATCAGTATTTTTGTAGATTTTTACAGACTATTTTCAGAAGTAGGAGCTACTTCTACTCAGGGCATGAAGCACACAAAACCTGCTCTGGGTTTTTAGTATACTGTTATTTAAACAGGCAAAGTGAGCCCATAAGCATATAAAACAAACCTCTAATTCTAAGAAGGAAAAGGAGGCTGCTGAATAAGGGAACACAGGAGAAACTGCAAAAACATTAACCAAACTTACTCCATTTTCCTGGGCAAGTCTTAAAATTTCATCAAATGTGACAAATGTATCATTTCCTCTGACTGCATCTTTCTCCATAAATCCCAGATGAATATCAGTTGCAACTAAGATTTTAAACGTATTTTCATCATCACTATATTAAAAAAAAGAAATGTTTCAATATAATTCATTAAAAGAATATTCAGGTAAATTGAAACCTAAACTTATAAAATAAATAACAGCAGTTACGGAGTAAAATCACTTTTTTAGTTTTTAAACTAGGTCTGAAAACTTGAAGTATTCAAAAGATCTTTCTCCTCACATAGTTTGCCTAACACTAATTCAAATATAGAACCAATGTGCATAAATTTTAAAAAGGTCTGTGACTATTTCAAAAATTTACAGCCTTGTCACAACCAATTTTATACTCATTCATACCCTGGACCCAAAAGCTTTATTGTTTTCCTACTCTGTTTCATAGCAAAACCCCAAGAAGATTTGATACCTTATCTAAATTTGCTATTTATCCACTCTGTACTCCTCTAGGAAAAATTAGACCTAACTGGTTAATTTTAAAAGCTCTTCCTCTTATTTTATAAGTATATTCCATGTTAGTAAATTAGTAACTTACATTCGGGCCCCTGAAGTTGCTTATTTTGACTCTCTACTCTCTACACTGTTAAGTGTTTCCTTAACAAACATTTGGCCAAGAAACAAAACAGAATTATTTACAATTCCATTCAAATTTGTTAGTATTCAAAGGTACTTTCATGGGAAGCAGCAATGTAATAGTTATTAATACTCTCAAGCTTAATGTATGTTTTAACATTTTTTAAAGTATTTTTATATCTATGATCTCAACTCAACTCACACAGGTCGAGTTAGCTATTGTTATCTCTGAAAAATAAGAAGGCTAGACACAGAGAAATTAACTGATTTATTGCACAACTAAGAGAAACAGGACTAAAATCATTTTAAAATTCAGGCTACTTTTCACTAAACTATCACTATGGACTTAAAAATATACATATACATATACATCTCCAAAATTCAAATCTGCAAGAGATTTTTCCAGAAAACATTTCTCTTCAGAAACTTTAAAAATGATATGTACACAGTTCTGCTATGTACAAAAAGGTAGATCTGAATACTTTCAGATCACATTACTCCCCTATGTTTCCACAGCAACTTATGAAGTATTTTCATGACAGTCTCATTTAAAAGTCAAAATCTAAGGAAGGCATTTTTATTCCAGTTATACAAATGAAGAAACTGAGGCAAAGATTAGAAAATTGCTAACTTGCTCAAGGTCGCACAGAATTAACCAAGGAATTAAAACCATGGTGAAAAACTCCAAGTCTAAAGCTTTTTCCACATAATTGTTCCTTTTATTTTCATTTTACTCAAAAGTATTTCAAATTACTACAGCAGTTTAGTCCTCTAAAAATGTGCTTCAACAGACTTCCCTTGACTACTAAGACTTTATCATGAAAGCTCAAAAATATTTATAGCTCCAATATTTTAAGACAATACCCAAGAACATAAATTTACATACTAGCAACACAACCAAATTACTGCAAGACCCAATCTATTGCTGCATATTATCTTTTTGTTAATAAACATAGTATGAATTTTTAAACATTCCAAATATTCTTTTTTATGACTATCATTTCTATTCATAGTCAAGTTATTTGGTGCTAATTTATTAAATGTTTTCTTTTAGGGCGATCAGAGTTGACAAGTTTCTAGAAACCCAAAGCAACAAAAATATTCCAGACGACAGGTGCTTACAGGGCTTCTGCAGGACTCATTTCTATGGTCTCACAGTCCAGTTACTCCAGGACGTTTTCTCTCCAACTAACCCCTGGTCCTTTGCTCAAATGTCAGAAAACACACTCGATTCCAAATTCTAAAAACAAAATCATATTATTATAACACACACATTTTAAAAAGGCAGACTGGCAATAGTGGAACTCTCATTTTCATCCAAGCACCTACGGTACTTTTAACAGCTAAGAATAGAAATGAGCACATCTGTAGTGCCATTCTAGTTTCACCATTATGATTAGGCTCATCTTCCATATTCCTTTCCCATGCCCTTTTCCTATGGGAAACTGCTAAATTACTGGGCAAAAAGGGTCACACACGTTAAGTTCTGGTTTAACACAGTGTGCAGAAGTGTTAAAGGTGCTTGCATAGGCTACTCTGAGGCATGGAGGCGAATCCCTACTTCCTACTTAAACACAGGATTTTCTAAAGGAATGGGCTAGTTTCGTAAAGAGAACGGCCAAGCATTTAAAGTAAGTGTCAATAAACAGAAACACGTGGTCTACAGAGAAACAGCAGCGGCCAGCAAACAAATGGCCAGCATACTTGGGGAGTAGCAGCTGCCATCGCGAAACAACCTCTCCCACGTCCAGATATCCCCAGTGCCGTGGTGATTCCAAGCCTCAGCATGCCCCACGCGGAACCCTCCAAGGCTCCTCCCCAGTCCACTCGGCCCGTTCTTCTCAGAGGGTCAATCCACTTTGGGCTTCCGCCCGGGATGCTGCAAAGGTAGGAGGCGGGTACGACTCCTAAAATACCGCACACTTAAGATTCTCCAAAGCCACATACTGGGACCCAAGGCTGTCTTTTACCCGGGAAGAAGGAGGGAGACGCGTAAGCAGAAAAGCACCAGACCAGCCACACCTCGCCTCTGAGAACCGCTTGGCCCTTAACCGGAATTAGGCGGGAGAAAAGAGCTAACTCTTTCTCTCTCGCGGTACTTCAACGAGGACGCGAGCAGTTCCAGTCCTCTTCGGCTCTCATTGGCTGTCGAATGCGAGAATGAGCTAGGAAAGTAGCAGCGAGACCCCGCCCTGGTATAAGAGCCAATCCTGAGCAACCTTGGGAACTAACCCCGGAAGTGAGGTTTTCGGCGGCGATATCTCCTCGGTAAGGTGGGTAGCTCTTCCTTGCTCTGTACCAAGATATAGGTACCCTGGTGCCACCTAAGAACTCCAGCGGGTAGGGGTCGGTCGCCTGTCGATCCCGACCCCGTCACAGACTCTGCTGTGGGCTGTTCTGAAGGCCGCAAGAGCTACTCCCGGTCCTGTGTAGCGACCAGCCGGTGCCGGAGGGCCGGAACTGGTGGCCTTCTCCCTTACTCTCACTGCCCCGAAGTAGAGCATTCAGATCCTCAGTTTTACAAGCTTGTCCCTGCTTCCCCTTAGCCCTTCAACCCGGATTTGGCACATCTGTATTGTTTTGTGCTGGTAGCAGAATATAGTGCAGTAAAAAATAATGTGAAACTTTTGATTTAGAAAAGGCTTTCAGTTCCATTGAAGTTCCTTGATCTAAGTTTTAATCTATTCGAACCTCAGTTTCCTTCACCTGTAAAATGGGGTTTAGGGCCCTACCTGTTACTGAGTTGTTTGTGAATGTGCCCCGTAGGTTAAGAAACATACCCTATTTCTTCCTGGTGGAATATAATCAAGTAAGAATCCTGATTGACTTTTTAAATCCTGAATCAGTGAGATGCACCGGGGTTTAACTTTTTAAATTAAATCCAACAAGAGATTTTTATGTGTAATTTTATCGTATCTGGAGCAGTAAATTCGAAGTTTATTTTTTTAAAAAGAGAGTCTTCATAAAAGGGAAAGGTGGGCCATGAGATCTGTGCTATAAATTGATGTAATTAACAAGTGAATTTTATGTTACTAGTATTTATTGTTTCATGAATTGATGCATGGTCACTTTTTTTAAGATAATATTTATTTATTTTTAGAGAGGGAAGGGAGGGAGAAAGAGAGAGAGAGAGAAACATCAATGTGTGGTTGCTGGGGGCTGTGGCTTGCAACCCAGGCATGTGCCCTGACTGGGAATCGAACTTGCGACACTTTGGTTCGCAGCCCGTGCTCAATCCACTGAGTTACGCCAGCCAAGGCGATGCATGGTCACTTTTGCTTTGCAAAGTCCAGGGAATAACTTGAGAATAAAGAAAAAAGTAAGAACTATTAAAATATAAAGCAATTCTCATAGCATCTCTCATAGACTCACAAGTTGGACAGGCCTTGGAAGTTCTTTAGTAAAATCCTTACACTTTACAATGCGGTAACAGGCCCAGAGAAGGTACTAGTCATGAGTGGTAGACTTAAATTCGAGTTTAATGCTCTTGGCACTAGTAACAAAATCTAATGCTACATTAGGATTGTATACTATTAAACTTGTAAAATTAGGTATAAAGAAGTGAGTATCTTATGAGTATGACTAACTGCAACTTCTCAGAATCCACTCCAGTCAAAATCAAGCAATAGTCAGAATCCACTCCAGTCAAAATCAAGCAATAGGGCTTTAATTAAATTTAATTCTACAATATTTCTGTATATGTGGGACATAAATATAAGTTCAATATAGTCCCTATACAGAAACTTAAGAGTCCAAAACAACAAAAATTAGTGGTGAAATAAGACAATATATAGCACACAAAAAAGTAGAAATGAGAGAGAGATAATCTAGAAGATCAAGAAGGACTTAATGAAAGAAATAACACCCGAGAAGAGGACTGAAAGAGATGATTTCTAACAAATATAGTTGGGAGGCTGAAAGTGGTATTTTTGAAAATGTATTTTTCAATCACCGTTGGCATGCAATATTATTATGTTAGTTTTTCAGGTGCACAACATAGTGATTAGATATCTATATACCTCATATAGTAGTCACTCTGATAAGTAGATACGGTATTTTTAAAATATTCATTCTTCTCATTTTCTTTGATTGGTTAATGTTTAATATGCTGTGTAACTCTTTAAGCTGATATTTGTTTATAAATTAATATGGCAGCCTAGCAGAATAAGCATCACATACTTTGGGAAGCCTTCTCTAATCCCTTAGGGCTGGGTTAGTTTTGACCCTCCAAACACACTGTATCTGGACATGGTCCTATCATAGCATTTACCCTGCTGTCTTCGCCAGTCACTCCACCTTGACCATAAGCTTCTTGAGGTTCAGATGTGGATCTTGTTCATTATTGAATCCCAGTGCCCAGAGACTGGCACATACCAGCCATTCTATTCATATTTGTTAAATGAAGGGTGAATCACAGCCAAAATTCAGTTTCAAAACAAGAAGTAATTAAGAACAATAGTTGTCTGTCAATGAATCGGACTGCTTTTACAGCAGTGAATTTTCCCAAGCCTGAAATTATTAAAGTAGAAATAGGATAACTATTACAGATACCATGATAAAGATATCTGCACTGATGAGAGATTGGGACACATGTCCTTCGGGGCTATTCTGTCTCTAAGACTGCCTGATTCTTTCAAGTAGATTTTTGTTTAGAAGTTTTTGTTTCTGCTCTATAGTATCTATGTGTCTAGTTTATTTTTAAAAATGTATCTGTTTTGTTATAATTTAAAAGCTTCAAGCATTTCTCACTCTTAATATAATATAGTCTCTAAACCAATAGGTTCAAAATAAATATAGGCATACCTCAGAGATATTGTGGATTTGGTTCCAGACCACTGAAATAAAGCTAATGGTAAACTTTTTGCTGGTGCAGGGTCTTGTCTTCAATTTGTAAAAAAAAAAAAATCTTTCTGTGAATCATGATAAAGCACAGTGCAATGAAACAAGGTCTGCCTGTACAGTTATAACCACTGACTTAGAAGAAAACAACAACAGCAAAAAAGAACTTTTAGGTTATTAAAGATATAGGTAACTGAAATCTATCAGCTCTGATACTTAGTGAATATAAAGGGTATCGATAAACACCAAGGAGTTTAAACAGGGTTTATTTGTGTATGTGTATAAGACATATATGCTGTTGATAAAGCCTCAATTACTGTTTTGCTAATAATTTTTGTTTGTGTTTTCAGATCTTAAGGAATAAAATAAAGCAGACACAATTCATCTCTAAAAAGATTATTTATACCTTGGTATTTGAAATGCTTTATGTTTAGAATAGTAATAAAAATGGAAAAAGACAAAGTAAATAATGATGGACAACCAGATCCAGAGAGTTCCTTGGACTTTTCTGAACACTTTAACCAACTTGAGTTGTTGGAAACACATGGACACCTTATTCCCACTGGTACCCAAAGTCAGTGGGTAGGGAATTCTGATGATGATGAGGAACAAGATGAAAAGACTGAAGAGTGGTATCAATTGCAAGAAAAAAAAATGGAAAAAGATCCAAGCAAATTGCTTCTTTGGGCTGCTGAAAAAAATCGGGTAAAAAAAATAATTAAGGAAGAAGTCATAATATAACAGGAAAAGTATTAGATTTGGAGACAGAAGACCTGTCCTTGAATCTCTGTTTGGTTTATAACTCTCTCTGGGCAAGTCCTACTATTTCTGAACCTCTATTTTCTTATCAGTAAAAATGGCCACCTTAATATCTGCCTCTTTTATACAGGGTTTTGAGGATCAAATGAGGCGATGTACATTGAAAGCACATGGTAAGCTATAAAGAGTCAAATTAGGTATTTGGGGAAGGAGGGAGCTTAAGGATAATTAACTATAAAGAAGGCAAGCAATCATCTATTTTTAAGTCATTTATATTAAGTCATTAGGATCATCTTAGAAACATTATTTAGGAAAGGGAGGATGGGAACTAACATTTATTGGATGCCAGCTATACCATGTGCCTTATTGCATTATTTGATTTAATCCTTGTATATCCCTAAAGATAGGTAATGCTTTTCCTATCCCTTTTACAGACTAAGAAATTGAGATTCAGGAATATTAATTTGCCCAGGATCATCAAAGTAAGATGATCCTATTTAACATCAAAAGTCTATTCTTCCCACTCAGTCACTTCTGTCTCACTTGACTAAGTTCCTGCATGTCTCTGTTAGTAAATTAATAACAAAGTGTCTTGCATTTTTGGAGCATGCTTTGTCCCGCTGGATGTCCAAAGACCAAACAGAAAATTATTTCCTAAAACACATGTCTAGGGTTGTTTTAGTTAGAAAGAATGAGCTCTTTCATGTCTCGATTTCTTTGTTGCCATTACATTCTCATAAGTTTATTTTTTAAAGTTTCATACATTACATATATTGGTGTGGGTGTGCTACTCCTACAGAAAAGCCAATCTGTATGTTTTCATTACAGCTGACGTGTAAAATATTAAATAACAATGATAGCCTATATTACTTATGTAGGACTAAAGTTTTTGTGCAGTAAGGCTTAATGGTTTGCTATTAAGAGAATCACATTTAGAATCAACAGTTTATGGTTAACACTAACTTGTTCATTCTTTTTCTTTTTTTTTTAAGATTTTATTTATTTTTAGTGAGAGTGGAAGGGAGGGAGGGAAACATCACTGGTTGCCTCTCAGGCGCCCTCTACTGGGGACCTGGCCCACAAGTCAGGCATGTGCCTTGACTGGGAATCAAACTGATGACCCTTTGGTTCGCAGGCCAGCACTAAATCCACTGAGCCACACCAGCCAGGGCTAACTTGCCCATTCTTAAATCAATTACCCTCTCCCCTCAAAAAATGAAATCTTATTTTTATTTTAAAGTCATCTTCTAACAAGTAGGTTTTTATTTAACTTAATTAAACCTAGCACCACCAGACAGTTTAATTTTCTCAATTTACTGCTTAGTTTTGAGTTGAGTTTTTTAAAGATCTCTCTTTTCCTTTTTAGCTGAATACAGTGCGGAGGCTACTTTCTGAAAAGGCCACTCATGTGAACACTAGAGATGAAGATGAGTATACACCTCTTCACCGAGCAGCCTACAGTGGACACTTAGAAGTTGTCCGTGAGCTAATAGCACAAGGAGCAGATGTTCATGCAGTGACTGTGGATGGCTGGACACCCCTGCACAGTGCTTGTAAGTGGAATAATACTAGAGTAGCATCTTTCTTACTTCAGCATGGTGCAGATATCAATGCCCAAACAAAAGGCCTCTTGACCCCCTTACATCTTGCTGCTGGGAACAGAGACAGCAAAGATACTCTAGAACTCCTCCTGATGAACCGCTACATCAAACCAGGCCTGAAAAACAACTTGGAAGAAACTGCATTTGATATCGCCAGGAGGACAAGTATCTATCACTACCTCTTTGAAATTGTGGAAGGCTGCACAAATTCTTCACCTCAGTCTTAACGGTTCTGATCATTTTCTTAAGTTTCTAAGTACCAGTGCCTCCTTTGTGTGAGATGTCAGTAATCCCCATAATACAAAGTTGACATCAAAAGTCTTACTACAGAAATTCAGTGGTACTCATTATATCCTTCCCAGTGAATTGCCTGGCCTTGATGTCAAATGCATTTGAAAGTTGTTTGGATATATCTTGAATGATTTCTGTGGAGCGTGTGATTTTTATCAGGAATAATTTTAACTTACCTATACTTCAAAATTTGTCATGAGCTGTACAGAAAACTAATGATATTTTTGGTGCTGATTCAAGAAAAATGTATTTTTAAATATCCCCCATCCTGAATCTTTGTTGAATATTTAGTATATGAAATGTATTTTTATAAGGTAAGGTAACTCAGAATTCAATTTAAAAGTCTTAAATATACTGGTGCAGTTCAGCTGTCATCTCTGTGTTACCATAGCCATTTGCTTTCATTTTAAACCGTAAGTACTAACATATATAGTAACTTGAATCCTGATAACTTAATACAGTCAAGAACCTAGCTTTTTGTCTTTTAGAACGTAGACCATTTTTAGGAGACTGGTTAGCTGGTGTTTAATCCATGAATATTATATACAGCCTCCCCCATCACAATTACACAGTCCTGAAGACAGTCCTACCTCACCCCGGTCCACCTACGTAATTCTTATTCTACTGGTAAGTCAGCATGAACTTGCAGTTGTGACATGCCCACAACTACAGCTTTGTCGGAGAGATCGTAATATATCTGTTAGCCAGCTGGTTTTACCTTTCCAATCCTGCTGACTTGGGCACTGCTCATATATCCATTCAAGTTCACAAGAAGTATTCATTTTACAGGGCCCTCATTTTTCAAAAAACATACAAAGGCCGAGTACCAAGGGAAAAGAAATTCTAAGAGTAAGGAGATGATTATTATATTGGGGCTAGAATCACACAGTGGCTGAGGCTTTTTAAAAAGCCACAGTGTGGATAGTGACAAAAGTATAAATACTCAGAAAATAAGTTTCAAACAAAAAAGGCATGAATTTTTTTTAATTGTATATAGCTTCCTTGAATCCATACATATTTAGTTATCCAGCACGTTTATTTACTATCTACTCTCAGTGTTTCCAGAATCAGTTTCACATTCACTACCAACTCTCCTGTGACTGTTCCTGAAGGCTTTTCTCTTAACTTCTCAACACCAGAACCAACACACAAAACAAAGGGCACTAAAACAGTGGCCCTTTCCTTCAGTTATATTTTTTAAATGTCCGCCAAGGTTTGTCTATTCTGAGCCAACCCTTGTGACCTAATCAACTTAGACTAAATAATAATGTTTAATCAAATATATGTGCCAGTTTTTAGGTAGAACAAAATTGGGTCATCTCTGAATAATTAATATATGAGCTGAATCTTTGTGACAAACAGTATCTTAACAGTTAGGAGAACTTCAGTTATTTTATGTTATGTGGCAAGGAGATCCCTGGGTTTCAGAGTGTTAGTGTCTATGATACAAGGGTTTTGGCAGAAAATGAGGGTTGCTTCCTGTTTAATCTGGCCCAGTTAGTGATACCAAGTAACAGGTACAGCTAATAGACAGTGACAATATAATAGGATCCCTTCCATCCCAGTAGACTGTTAAGTGAGGCTTCCTAGTTGTCTGAAAGGCAAAGATCCCATGACTCCTGTCTTAATTGAGAGTGAGTTGCATCCATGATTTTATATAAGCTTTCCACTTAAGTATAGGGTCAAAGAAGCCACCTTTTAATCTGACCAGGAGCTGAGTTGAGATGTAACTACCCCTTGGCTTCCAGACCACACAACACTCAGCTAGTGCATGGAAACCCCTGCTATCCCTGAGGGCAGAGTTTATGTTGTTTGCTTCCTTTATGCTTTCTTAGTACTTACTAGATTCCTCTGTCTATAGAAGGCATTCACTAATTATGCTTTTGACTATATTACTTACCTATAATTTTTAGTTTGTTTTTAAAAAGCTAAATACCTCAGTTTGCAAACAGAATTTTCTCTAATCTTATACAGTCTATCCAAAGACTCTTAAAAAAATAAAGTCTATGCTTTTCATAACTAAGGCTTTAATTGTGATTAACTTACGTGCCTGAAAAAGAGGTGACCTTTTGTCATTATTTAAGGGACACATCTTAATTCATAGGCCCTCAGTGGAACTAGCTGACTTTATTTTTTTAATCTTAAATACAATTCTCTGGGAAGCTTTCTGGCCCACAGCCTACCACAGTGATGGGATTTAGAGTCTTAATTCTCATTTTTATTTGTTGGCATCTATTAATGCACCCACCGCTCTGCTAGGACATCATGATCAAAAGAGTCCCACAGCAGTTGCACTTGCTCTGAGACTTGTGTCCCATAATAAAATGAAACCTCTATATCGGTTCTTGATTCCTAATCAACACATATACCATCCTCACCCTGCCTGAAATGGCTCTAGGAATTTCTGGAACTGGAAGGTACAAAGTATGACCACAAAGTCACTGATTATGCCTTTACTGTAATTAGTTTATTGTGGCATGATCTAGTCCCTCTGTAGAGTTACCAGGTGACCATTTAACTTGTGCAACACGAAGTTCTTTCTCTAAGGGAATTTAAGATCTCTGTTTATTATGTTTAGAAGACCGTAAATTAAGAAGGATTGAGTAACTATTGGTGATTTAAATTTCTGAAAATTTCCCTTTGAAACCCTAAATTTTACTTCTGGAAACCTAAGCAAAAATTATGTAAATCAGGCTGTCAGAAAGAAACATAATGTGAGCCACATGTGTAATTTTTAGTTTTTTTCTAGTAGCTGCCTTAAAAACAGGTGAAATTAATCTTAATAATACACATTATTTAATCTAATAAATCCAGAGCATTCATTTCAACACAAAATAGGTATTTTAAATTATTGAGATATTTTAATTTTTTCATAGTATAAGTCTTCAAAGTACAATGTGTACTTTATGGCACACCGCACTTCAGACAGCCACATTTGACTGGTGGCTACAGTTGAACAGGGCAGGTCCAGATGCCAGAAGCATTCCATGGAGGCACAGCAGAATAGTTAGAAGAAACTAAACTTTAAACCAGACAAATCTGGGTTCAAATACTGATTGCCATCTGTGTATGACTTTGGTCAAATAAAGTCAGTTTCCTACTATGTAAAATGGAGATAGTGTCTATCATGTTAGAGCTCTATAAGGAATAAATGAGCTGTACTGTAAATAATGTCCCTAATACATGGTAGGTTTGCAAAAAAATGCTATTAAGTGGGTTCCCTTACCCAGCATTTCAAGCAGAAATGTCCTTCCTGCTTTAGGTATTTGGATCCTTGAAGATTTCAAAGCTCTAGCTTTATACTCCTATATGTATTGTAGTTCCTCTCATGACTTTGCAGTAAAATATGCAGCATAGAGCTTCTTTCAAGAATCCAAACGCCTCCACACTTAGAAAAAATGCCAGCCTCATCTTCCAAGGCCCTTACTAGGTGTCACCAGTCTCCAATAGAAGAAAAAATTCAGGAAGTAGGCAAAATAAAGAAAAAGAATTTCAGCAAATACTTAACAAGGACTTAAAGGATAGGAGATTCTGAGAGAAAATCTATTTTCAGAATGGATCCAGGGCCTTAAAATTGAGAGTGGCTTATTGCTCTTTCTGTGTACAACTCCTCTATGCCTAGTGAATGAATTGCTCTTTTAAATTCATACCTGATTTTTTCCCTTTTCGTGATGGGTCTTGTTAACATTGAGAAAATGGAATGAAAACACAAACAAAAGCATTCATTTTTGATTTATTGCTTTAATTGTCCACTTGAAACTCAGGTAAATCTAATTGTTCTCACTAGGAATTTAATGACATTGCCATGACCATGAGTGCCAGCGGGTCTCAGAGAAGCAGAAAATCTCCTTAATGAAATGTATAGCTTATAAAAATATAAAAGCAAATTGCTGCCTAATTTGTTTTCTTCCTTCTCTTTCTATTGTAATAGGTTCAGCATTTCATCTCTACTAGATGTAAAATACTTGAAAATTAGGAAAACATCCCTGGAGAATTAATGTGAGTTCGTAAGGAGCATCATCTCCTGAGCAGTCGTTAGAGCTCCATTTTCAGATACAGCTGCCTTAAGTAGAGGCAATTTTTAGCAGTCAGAAAATCGGAAAGTGAGCCTGCCATTATTTAAAAAATCAGGTGACTATCAGGTTTTTTCACTCTTCAATTTAATAACTCAGAAAGCATATCCTGATTGAAGGGATTGATTCTAGGGCCAAGACATAGCTGTGCTGTGAGAATTATGCAAAGACCTGACACAAGAAACAGCTCCTTCAGGGCACGTTCCAGAATGAAAGGACTAGAGTTTAGATTTGCTTTCATGTGCTTCTGCATGTTTCTTATTTGAAGATAAGCAAAGCTTATAAAAAGAATCAAAAGGAAGAAACGTTATATTAAGGTCCTTTTCTCCATTCCTTTGACTTTATTTTGTACATTTAGGCAATGAGGAGGTTTTGAAGTCCATTTAGAAAAGTAAGTATGTCAGGGTTCCTTCCCCAAACTATTGATGGTGGAACCAAGTAGTTCTTTGTTGTAAGGGCATCCTGGGCATTGCAGAATCTTGAGCAGACTTCTCAACCTCTGCTCACTAGATGCCAGTAGCACCTCCACCTCTTCCTCCCCACTTACGACAACCAAAAATGTTTCCAGACATTGCCAGATGTCCCCTGCTCTATGTCAGGAGATTTTATTATTTGGCTAGCCTCAAAGTTGTTTTATTCACATGCAATTAAATTTTATTTAAAGGGCATTTTCTTTAGAGTCCTAATATCCATCAGTGTATACTCAGAAATTAGATAATCATTGATTCTTTTTTAAATGTTTAGTATTTTATTATCATTTAAACACATTTGAAAATTGGCTAAACCATACAATTAGGAAAAAACTCTTTGAGTGTCATTTGTAAGAAAAACTTCCTACTTCCAGGTTTGATCTCTAGGAAATTTACCCCTTAGGTCAGATTACTTTATTTTTAGAGAAATTCTAACTTCTGGGTATTAATGGAGATGATAATCAAACCCTGATTTTTAATAGGTTGCAACATTACAAATGTGAATTTGTTATTGAATTGTAGAATAAAATGCAATTAAGTTGATACATGAGCACTTTACTTCTAGAAGAAAAGGGATAAACAAAGCCAACAGCCTTTGTCAGAGAAGAATGAGCTGTGGAAGGAGCTAGCCAGTTCCAGGTATGAAACAACTGGAGAAATAGACGATACTCTCATAATGTCATTACAGATCTAAAATTCTTTTAGGTTATTTAAATAAATATAAAAAATGATATGGTATAATTTATTTTGGCAATTACTTCCACTTTAAAAATTCCAAGATAAAATATATCAAAATCATAGTGTAAAAAAAAATTCTACATTTGTTTATCCCCAATCATCATTTATATAATGCCTGAATGCAAGAGTCTCATCTGATCTTATTTATGAAAGTCCTTATATGTCCAAGGTAAGATACACCAAATCACTGTGGTATTATTAATAACTAACAATTGAGTGCTTACTGTGTACCAACTGTGCTGTAGGTGCTCACACACATTATTTCATGTGAGCCTCACAATAACCCCATGAGGTAAATGCCATGGTAGACATGAGGAAATTGGGCTAATGGAGGTTAAGTAAATCACCCATTGTCGTGAACCAGGTTTCCAGAAAGCTCACGATTAACTATTACAGCTTTTCATCTGTGGTGGTCTTGAATGTTAATATCCATGTACAACCAGTTTATCAAATAATCATAACAAAAATTATTTTTTATTTTTTTAATAATAAAAAATAAAAATAATAGAAAATTATCTTTTATTATTTTTATGTAGTTTATTTATGGTAGTATTTGAGGATATAAAAATTACCATTAGCAGCAAATTGCATTTTATGGCATAAAACATAAGTAAACAAGTTTCATTAAATCATAAGCACCTGCCTTGCTGGTGTGGTTTAGTTGGTTGGGTGTCATCCTACAAACTGATAGGTCACTGGTTCAATTCCTGGTCAGGGCACATGCCTGGGTTGTGGCTGCAGTCCCAGATCTTGGATTACAAGAGGCAAACCAATGTATGTTTCTCTCTCACATTAAAAATAAATAGTCTTTTTTTAAAGGCAGGAAAAAATTTTTGGAAGTGGTAGAAATGTTCTGTATTTTAATTGTAGTGGTAGTTTTGCAGATAAATAAGTATACAACTGCCCAAGTCATTAAATTCTATACATTTAATGGAATTAAGTTTTTGTACATAGTTATACTTCAGTAAAATTGATTTTTTAAAATTAGACATCTTGCAGTGATTAATTTCATCCTTTCATTGTTTTCCATAGCAAGTAGGGGCATATGAGTATCTCTTCGCCAAATTTAAGGGGTATATCTTTCTTGGGGCTGCAGAGTCCTGTGAATTATCCAAATAATAATAATGGTGATGATGATCTCACCTATTCACTGGAATTTTAAAATCCCAAGCAAAAAGCCCTTTGTAATTGGAAGGAGCAGTTTCTCCATTAAATGCCACAGTAGGAAGCAAAATAATTGTCCAAAAATAGTCCATTTGACAACATTCAACAAATTAGAAAAGATGGCTTAATTATTATAGGAAGGATTTTGTTGTCTTTTAAAATAATTTGGATCAGGCCTTGGCTGGCATGGCTCAATGGATTGAGTGCCAACCTGCAAACCAAAGGGTCACCAGTTCTATTCCCAATCAGGGTACATGCCTGGGTTGCAGGCCAGGTCCCTGGTGGGGTGTGTGCAAGAGGCAACCACACATTGACATTTCTCTGCCTCTCTTTCTCCCTCCTTTACCCTCTCTCTAAAAATACATAAATATGATATTTTTAAAAAATTAAATTAAAAAATAATTTAGATCAGGAATGTTAGAAACTAGGATATCAGAGTGATTACAGCATCTATTCAATAGTTCTCTGGTGGAAAAACAAAGCATTAAACATCCATTGCTTACTCAGTTGCCCTGTTACTAAGCAGAACATGGAAATGACTTCTAGAGATGTGTTCAAGATCTAGAGAAGTAAACACAAAATGTAAAAATTAATCTACCTAGTTTTTACTGATGTATCATTAACACAAAGTAATGTAGTAACAATATAATGTATAACTTCTTACAAGAAAATGTTATTGGGGTTTGCCTCCATCTATTGAACATATCAATGTTTTAATTAAAATGAGAAAAGGATAAGCCATCCTGTTTTTGTTGTTCACTTTCAGTTTTTTAAAATAAAAAAGTGAAGAATAGTAACCACATTTTCTAGGTAAGCAGTAAATTTTAAACTTATTTTTATCAGTAACTTGTTCCCAAAAAGATTTCAGGTGGTATATAATTTAAAACATATAATAAATAATTAGGAATAGAAAATCAAAAGCCATTTAGAAGGAGAAAAAAGGAAATAAAACACCTAAATTAATATATTGTAATTACTACTACAACTGACTATTAAATTATCTCTAAGCATTTTCATATTAGACACAAAAATGGAAAAACTAACTGCATAATTCCTTTTTATTTGATCAAAGTAAACCATACTTTTGAGTAAAATTTTCAGACTAATTTTTTAACTAAAATATACTTAATTTTTGTATAATTTTGTAGAATTATAGAAAACAGTAAAGTTCATAAACCTTGGTGCATTCTACAAAGTGAACACATGCATGTAACTACAACTCAGATCTAGGTACAGAACACAACCAGCACCGCCTGCTCCCCGCCCAAAAAAAAGGCAAAAAGGGAACTTGAAGGAATATTTACATTGATGAGTTTGGAGTTCTGTAAAGAATAATGACAGCTAGGAGGACATTTTCTGCCACTAAAGAGGTGGCAGAAAAGTCAGGAAAATGTAGTTTTGGAAACCAAGAGGATGTTTTCAAGAAAAAATGAGGTATAAATCATTGTCAAATGCTACTAGAGAGGTAAAGAAACTTGAGAAAACATAGCTTGATTTGAAGACTGGTAGGTACTTGGTGACCTTCAAAAGACTAAATTCAATAACATGATGAGAGTGGAAACAGGCTATGTGAATTGGGCCCTCACTGGTGTGACTCACGGGATTGGGCATCATCTGCAAACAGGTCCCCAGTTTAGTCCTAGTCAGGGCACATGGCTGGATTGTGGGCTAGGTCTCCGGCTGAGGACATGCTGAGAGGCAACCATTCAGTGTTTCACATATTGATGTTTCTCTCCCTTTCTTTCTCCTTCTCTTTCTCTAAATAAATAAAATCTTTTTGCTTTTAAGGGATTTGAGTGTGAACAACTGGAGACCAAATGTGAATGATCTTGTTGGGAAGGATTTTATATGTTTTTTAGTAGAAATGAAAAAGTCAGTATGGGAATAAGAAAAAAATCAGTATACAGAAGATAAATAATAGAAATCTGGAGGAGTTTCAAGGGGAGGGGAAACATACAGAATGGGATAAATAATTGCAAATCAGGTATCTGATAAGGGTTAATATAAAAATATAGAGATATTTGCTCACCCACATTTGTTATAGATTATTCAGAATAACCAAGAGGTGGAAGCAATCCAAATGTCCTTAACAGATGAATGAATAAAGAAAATGTAGTATATACGTAAAACATCATTAAGCCTTTAAAAAGAAGAAAATCCTGTCACATGCTAGAAAAGGGATGATTCTTGAGATTATGCTAAATGAAGTAAACCAGTCACAATAAGATATGTACTGTATGACTTTATGAGATCTAAAGGATTTAAACTCACAAAAACAGAAAGTAGGATGGGTTGTTGCCAGGGGCTGGGGAAAAGAGGGTGCTGGTCTCCAGTGGGTATAAAGTATATATTTGCAAGATGATTAAGTCCTAGAGATGGTACACAACAATATAAATATATGTAATACTTAAAAATGGGCTAAGGTGGTAAAAACTGTTAATC